CGATTGGATTCATCTGAAAGAAGAAAGTCATATACACCTAGGATGCTTTGAGGGTGAGTAAAAACATGGACTAATTTTCATTTTTGGAGTGCACCTGTTGCTAATTTCATTAACACCAAAGCAGCTGAAACTCATTAACAACCCCTTCTGCAACTTTAGATCAATATCCCAGGAGTTTAAGAACATGTACTTTTTAAAATAAGTGAATTAAATATTGTTGTCTCCTCTTTTTCTGTTCCTGCATATGTGAATCTCACAGTGTCAAACTGGAGTTCTCAACCAATCATGGTCGCTCCTGGTCTCTCCTGCACACAGAGTGTCTTCCTGAACTGTGTGCCGGATCACATCTGCCTCACAGCAGCATCTACTCCTCAGAGAACTACAGCGGGTCAGTCACTGCATCTGTCGGACGCTTTCATAAATCCGTGTTGTCTGTTCTGTTAACAGTGTGGTTTATTCTCTGTGTTCCTGTAGTTGGACGAGGATCACGATTCCTCTGCCCAACTCCGCGCTCACAGACAGCACTCGCTTCCGCTGGAGACAGACCGCTGTGGGAAGCAGCAACATGTGGGCGATTGACAATGGTAAGACATACAGGTCATATTTACTGATAGATGTCGACACATTATAGTCAAACCCATGGAGCGTGATCAGCAGATTAGACAGTGATTTTGAGCCAATAAATCATGATCAGGGACGATGATGATTATATGGTTGTTGTTGTTCCAGTGTATATCGGTCCGTCCTGTTTGCGTTTCTGCTCCGGTAGAGGACACTGTTCACGCACGGGCTGCAAGTATGAACGTCTTTAAGTCAGAACTGCAGCAAAACACTCTTTACACTGTGAAAACAGCAACATCTTACTGGTTCTGGAAAATGTTTTTTTTTTTTTTTTCATATTTCTTTAGGTGTGACCATGGTTTCAGCGGTCCGGCGTGTGAGCTGGCATCTCAGACCTTCCCTGCGTTTCTGTCCGAGAGTTTCTCCAGCGTGAGGCTGTCGTCCTATCACAGCTTCTCCTCACTGCGGGGGGCAGAGGTCAGCTTCGCCTGTGGGGTTTTGGCCAGCGGAAAAGCCCTGGTCTTCAACAGGGACAGTAGAAGACACATTGTTACGACCCCCCTGGACAGTTCACAAGCCAGGTACACACACACACACACACATGTTTTTATGTTGTATGGGGACTCTCCATAGGCGTAATGGTGTTTTTTACTGTACATACTGTATTTTCAGTCCCCTAGCCCTAAACCTCTCACACAAAGCTACAGGCATTTTTACATTCTTAATAGAACATTCTTTAGTATACTTTTAGTGCTATTTTAATTATGAGGACTCAGGAAATGTCCTCATAAAACACGTTTATGTTGTTATATCAGTATAATACCCATGTCATTATACAAATGTGTGTCCTCCTAAATCACATAAACATGCACACATATATGTGCCATTGGTTCGGCTGACCGTTTGACTCAGACATTTGCATTTTATTGGGGCCTTTTGATATTAGAAGTGTAAAGATCGTGATTCTTTCATTTTTATCACTTTTATTTATCACTTCAGTCAGAAAGGTACTATTTTTCATATATTCGTGTCATCTTGACTCCTCTGATAGCATTACTTCAATACAAGCCCCAGGTCATGTTTCTTTCTCTCCTGCAGGTATCTTCAGTTCACGCTGAGGCTGGGCAGTCGCAGCACGTCGAGCTCCTGTCCCGCTCCAGACCAGCCGGGTGAAGGAGTGCTGCTGCATTACTCCTCAGATAACGGCATCACCTGGACGCTGCTGCAGCATTACGCTTATCAGGGCTTCCATGAGCCCAGGTACACCGTCCTGAACACACACACCACTGCTGGACTTTACTGCGGTCATGTGGAGCGGCATGGCATATCTGACTTCTGCAGCAAGCACATAAGTTAAAGGGGCCAGATGATGGGATTTACATTTACATTTAGTCATTTCAAGTCATGTGGAGCAGCATGGCAAGTTTTCCCTTTGTCTTTGGAGTGTTACAAGCTGTTTGTGCAAATATAAGATTGGTAAATTCACAAAGATTAAAGTCTCAAACCCAAAGAGATATTCTTTCTAAAAGTTAAGACTCATTCACGCCTTCCTAAAACGCCTCATTTAAACATGCTCCCACATATCTACATCACTGTGTGCCCAAATGTTTACGCAAAGAAAGAAGGCGTACCTTTTATTCTCACTGAAGTATTGTTGTCATGGAGACACTGTGTGTTTCCAAATATGGTAAGGGGCGTAACATTTCGTCACATGCTTGAGGTATTCACCCAATCACAACGCACTGGATAGCTGGCCAATCAGAGCACACCTCGCTTTTCAAACGATGAGCTTTGTAAAAATCGATGCGTTTCAGAAAGGCAGGGCAGAGAGGAGCAACAATAATGTACAGTATGTGGACAATAATGTGTAGCGTCGTCATATGACCCCTTTAATATACAGTATGTTGTGTGATCAGCTCGTCTGCTATTTTTGATGGTTACTGAATTGACTCTTTCTAGGATCGTTTCTGTGGAGCTTCCTCCTGGGGCCCGTAAATTCGGGGTCCAGTTCCGCTGGTGGCAGCCGTACCATTCGGGCCACGGGCAGGACGTCTGGGCTCTGGATGAGATCAGCATGACCTCCATCCTCTTCAACATCATCAGCCTGGACTTCAGTAACGTGTTAGACGTGACTCAGAGCCTGGGCTTCTATCTGGGGAACGTGCAGCCGTACTGCCAACACGACTGGACCCTCAGGTACCTGCCTCATCTTCACCACAGTACCATTCATTATTAGTTAAGACTTCAATCAGCAGCCATTGAAGCATCAATGTGAAATATAGGCATTACTGACATCTCAGTACAGAGACAGAAGAACTATATCATGATGTCTGTCCTTACAGTGGTTGGAAGTGACGTGATGAGATTTTTGAGCTTAAACAGGGAGCTGCTAGAAAGTCACTTTATGACGCTTTATATTTATGATGCTTAACCGAAGTTAACCATATGAACATCAGGTAAAAGACCCTAACCGATTGATCGGTTGAACATCACTGCATTTGTGCTTCACTCCTTTCATGATTTTTCTGGGATTTAAGAATTTGGAGAACATCTAATCCATACTATAAAAGCTACTCTAATGGAACTGAATGACCTTTTAATGTACAATAAAACATTTCTAATTACTATTCATGAGCTCAGACGTCACAACCCACCCAACTACAGTCTCACTTGACACCAGCTCTCCAAGAACAAAAAAGCACAAAAATAGCTTTGTTTCAGATCCCGAAGTTCATCACCATTTGCCATACCAGCAAAGAGACAGAAAATTGCTTTTGTATTCAATGGAAAAGCAAACCGAATATTTCTGCAATTAATAATGCATTGAAATCCAAACAGCATCAGCATTTCCCTTCGGGCTCCGTCTGAAATGAAAGTGTAAACCACAATGATGTAAATATTTGCTCAGTTTTTCAGGCGATCACGGTTCGTCCTCCAGTATCCGCTATGTGGAAACACAATCCATGCAGATCGGCGCGTCCTACATGATCCAGTTCTCGCTGGTCATGGGCTGCGGACGCGACCCTTCTCCTCACATCGACACTCAGGTCCGGCTGGAGTTCTCCACCAATCACGGCTTGACTTGGCATCTCGTCAAAGAGGTGAGAAAACCAAAAATATTCACTAATGCTTCTTGTTTTCACCAAGAGAAAAGTACCTAAATGCACCATAGTGTGACCATGTTTTTGGATTATGATGTAAATACCATGCTAATGATTGAGTACCACGGTATACATTCAAGTACTGACAGTATCACCATCTGATACTGCCTCTGGGTCTTCACTCAGAACCTTCCGCACTTCTTGTAAGGATTGTAGAAGCAATCTAAAGCACTGCACATGTTGTCAGATTATACAGTAGATGATTCCTTGTGCTGTGATTCCTCTGGTCTCCACTGTGAGGTTAACTGCTGTTTCTGGTGGTTTGTGGGTAACAGGCCTGTCTCCCCGGTATGCCGAGCTGCTCTGAGTTCACTGCGTCCAGCGTCTACCATCCGTCTGAGTTCACAGACTGGAGACGCATCACGCTTCCACTGCCGTACAAAACCTGGTGAGACACAAACGCTGCACACAGATTCACCGACTGCAGTGCACTGGACTCTCCTGTGCTACAGGAGCAAGACATCTGATTATTAAATGTGACATTTTTAAAAGTGAATATGTATACATTTGACTCCTTTTATAACTAGAAAACTACTTCCATAAAGCGATGTTTAAAGTCTTATAGTCATATTATATTACAAACAATACATGGCAAATGTGTCAAGAGGATAAACACCAAAGGCATTTTCTCACGACCTGTTTTGCTCATATTTGCAGCAGTATTTCTGATTGTAGGGTGGAAATGGTCATATTTGAGCAGTGTTCATGCATCTTCATCGACTGCTATGCATTTGCAGTGTTTTCTCGTCTCACTCTGGTTTCATGCTGTTTTCTGGCTGTAGGTCGAGTGCGACACGCTTCCGATGGATCCAGAATCACTATCAGGAGCAGGACGAGTGGGCTCTGGATGACGTTTACATTGGGCAGCAGTGTCCTCAGATGTGCCGTGGACACGGATGGTGCGACCACGGTCACTGCAGGTCAGTCACTGTCACTTACTGGAGCGACCGATTCGCATTTTCAAACTTTTTCAAAATAACTTTTATTTTGTATGCGATTAATCGCGATTAATCGTTTGACGGCACTAATTTCAACTTCATTTTGCATTTTATCATCACATTAAATGTATATTTTAATTTACATTTTTATTTTACATATTCATTAAAACATAATTTAGTATTTATCATTATTTTGAACCCTTTAGAGAATCCCTATAGTGCTAAGAGAAACATGAATGTTTGTGAATATGTAGTGCTTTAGTCTGGTGCTTCCATCTCAATAATTTCAATGCTATTGGTTGAAAAATATTTATGATGGAGCACAAATAGTTAGATATGCTAGATCAAATTACAGTGGTGCTAGTAACAGTGAAGCGTTTATGTGAGGTTTTAGCTAATTAATATGGAATCATTTAGTGTTTTATGTGATGCATTCCACTTTTATGTTCTTTGTCAGATTGATTCTTACGGTGGATGATCAGTGTGTGCTGAACGCGGTTTGAGACGCTGACTGTGAGCCCTTCATGGGCGGCTCAGGGTCAGATGTATGTGACGGCTCAAGGCGAGCGGGGATGATTTGTTGGGCAGAGATGTACTTCACTGACTTCACCAAACCACGGTGAGAACAGCGCAGAACAACTCAGTCAATAATGCTCTGTTTGTTTAAGATTTTTACTTTATTAAAAATGAGGAATTCCAGGATCAAACTACATGTAATACATCCAAACAATTCTTTCTCTGTTTATTTTTTTTTGCCTGGAGTCGTTTGAAAGATAATGAGCAGGCATTACGCAACGCCCAACCCCAGCTCTTTAATGCAATAAACACAGCTGGCAAAAGAAAAGGCCTATTTAAACTAAGGATACATTCATGCAGAACAAGTTCTGCTGTTTATAACAAGTGTGCAGAATGGAAGTAGAAATGAACTCAGGGTTCCTGAGATGCGTTTTTAAAAGCTGAGCATCTTTTCAAAGAGCAGTGCAGTGGAATATAATAACACATTCTGTGTGACCCGGCCATAACAATGATTTCAATACTGCAGCTAGTTATTTTATCGAACCATCTGATATATGTGACCCTGGACCACATAAGGCTCATAAGGGTCAATTTTTTTAAACTGAGATGAGCTGAGATACAACTATTTGAAAATCTGGAATCTGAGGGTGCAAAAAAAACAATCTAAATGCACAGTCACTTTATTGTTTGTGCACTCTAGTTTTTGTTGTCACCTTCATGTAAATCTTCAGGAATACATTTTTGTTCAAAGGACCTTGAACTTTGCCTTTCGTTTGGTGTGCAGATTTTTTGCCTTTGCTTTTTGTATGTTTCTCTATTCACTGAATCTACACACCCAATTATAAACATATTCTTTTTATTTTACTTGATTGGCACATCATTTTTTTCATATTTCTACAGTGTAGACAGCGCAGTAACGTTGTTCTGTTTCTCCTTCAGCTGAACATCGGCTGTGAGTCGGTCTTCAGTGCGTCTGCACCCGTGCTGCTCCAGTACTCTCATGACGCGGGCCGCACATGGGCTCTGGTGCGGGAGGGCTGTTACCCAGCATCCCCTGGGGCCGCGAGCTGCGAGGGCAGCAGACGTGAACTCAGAGAGCCCACTGTGTACCACACGGGAGACTACGAGCGCTGGACCAGAGTCACCGTCGTATTGCCACGGATCGTAGCCGCCAGGTAACTGGACCCTGGGATTGTTCTGAGAACAGGGTCCGAACGTGGATTCATACTGTCAGCGACATGGGGATATTTCTAAAGAACAGTTATTTAAAATATTTTTCGTAAGATTTTCGAAATGCTTTATAGGCATTTCTTTATGCCGCAGGCAAATATCCCAGGGGTTGATTTTTTTGGTAACACATTACAATACGGTGGCAGTAATATGCATTAATTCATGCTTAACTAATGCACAGATAATCATGAATTAATGTGTAACTCATGAAGAACTAAACCATTTATTAATAATTACTGCATCAGCAACAGAGGAAAATTCTATATGATTCATAGATTAAATAATCAATAAATTGTTATTAGTCAAATGTGTCATAATGTGTTAATTCCCTAATAACATAATTATAATAACCAATAGTGTACATTCATATGTTAATTACCACCACAATGGGTCGAAACCATGCATTTCAACTGTCAGGTGTCTGCTTTAATTAATCATTAGCTAATGATTTGCAAAGATATAATTATGTTATGACTATACTTGTTGAGGCACATGACTAACTAACTAATTCAAAATCCATAACCCACAATGACATATTACTTCATTAGTTAATAGTTGTGTGCCTCAACAAGTAAAGTCATAACATAATGATACCTTTGCAAATCATTAGCTAATGATTAGTTAAAGCAGACAACTGGAAGTTTAAGTACATAGCTTTGACCACTGTGCTAATTAACATGTGAATTCATTAGTTAATATAATATGTTATTAGGGAACTAATACATTATGACAAATTTAACTAATAACATTTTATTTATTACTTAATCTATTAATCATATAGAATATTCATTAGTTGCTGATGTAGGAATCATTAATAAATGGTTTAGTTATTCATGAGTTATACATTAACTCGTGATTATCTGTGCATTAGTTAAGCATGAACTAATGCACATTTGTGCAGCCGTATTGTAAAGTTTTACCTTTTTTCTCAAGGTAATGATTATGATAATGATTATAGCCTAGTTTTGGTGAGCTCATGCGTGTGATCTCTATATTCCCGTGTAATTTTCAGCAAGACGCGCTTCCGCTGGTTCCAGGAGACCAGTGTCTATCGGGACGCCCCTGCGTTTGCGCTGGATGGCGTCTACATCTCTGAGCCCTGTCCCAATCACTGAGGCGGTCACGGAGACTGCATCTCAGGCGTCTGCTTCTGCGATATGGGATACACAGGTAACACTCACATGTTGAATGTCTCTTTGTCTCTATTTTGGTGAGGCACCACCAGTGTTGGGGAAAGATACTTTTAAAAGTAATGCATTACAATATTGCATTACTCCCTAAAAAAGTAACTAATTACGTTACTTAGTTACTTTTTATAGAAAAAATGTGTTATGTTACTTTTGAGTTACTTTTTAAATCTGGGCAGGGCTTGCTTGTTTGTTTTTAATATAAAAAAGGTCTAATTTTGGCAAATGTAAAAGCCCTTTCACACCAAAAGTGAAATGAATACACCTCGGGCTGAAGAAAATGTAAATTCAGAGGGCCCAGCTCAAACAAATTGCATACAGAATATGACGAAATATGAAGAAAGTTCAATATTATTCTGCAATAACAAAAATAATTTTCATTTTGTGTCATTTTTGCTTATTAGTATGGTTGAATTGGATCTTCGAATGTCAAGAGCAATGACATTGTTTAATAAAATGGGATTAAATACATAAATGATATTGTCTTATTTAACATATTTAATTATTGCAGCTTTGTATAATATTCTGAGTTTGCATTTGACTGTTTTTATTGATTGTGAGGAACACTGAATGTGTTTGTGTGCAGTGAGATGAGTAAACACATGTTGATATTTAGTCTAGAACTACAGTAAGATCATGTTCACACACAACACTTTGCACTTACTCCTGATTTCTGTCACCACGGCAACACCAGAGCTGTCACTCAACACATGGAAACAAAGTAACTATGCTACTTATTTGAAAAAGTAGCTCAGATATTTCCTTCTAAATTAAAACGTAATATGTTACTTTACTAGTTATTTGAAAAAAGTAATCTGATTACATAACTCGCGTTACTTGTAATGCATCCCCCCCAACACTGGGCACCACTATATGTGATGTTATAGATTGTTTTCATGTTCATGTATGTTTGGTTATGTTTGTGTTTGCGGCGGTCAGTGGAGGTGGACCAGTCCAGCTGTGTCCCGTCTGCTCCGAGTCCCACTGAACTGGTGGAGGATTTCGAGGGGAAGCTGAGCCCGCTGTGGCAGAGCCTGAGCGGAGGACAGATCGGTGACGGCTGCGGGAGCATCAGCGAAGGGAATGCTCTGTACTTCAGCAGCCTGGGCAGACGAGAGGCTCGCACCACGCCGCTGGACACCACCCACACCCGGTCAGTGCCACGACACTGCTGGACTCTCGCAAACAGTGAAGCTTTAGACATTCACGTGACACCAACCGTGTGTTACAAGTTCACTGCTTGTGTTTGTTTTCTCCCTAACTCATATAGAACACTCTGTTGTCTTCTGTTTTCTTCTTCCGTACAGTTTGGTTCAGTTCTACATTCGTATCGGAGGGAAAAACATGGGCTCCACCTGCACTCGTCCCCGCTCCCGAAACGAAGGTGAATGTTGTGGACTTCAGTAACTGCTGATCTGCAGTACATTGAAAAAAAAATCTACTGTAAAATTTACAGTAAAAAACTGGCAGCCAGAATTTTACTGTAAAAAATACGGTAGCAACATTTTAGGTTTTACGGATTCAGCTTCATAAGTTTCAAATGAAACTTAATTTCATTAACTGATATAATGTTAATATACTGTACCAACCTATTAAAGTACTGAAATCTGTTTAGTACGTTTGTAGTACACTGATAACCACTAAAAGCAGGTGGTGGTGAGAAAGTCACATGATGAACCAAAGCTCATCACAAATAGTTTTTCCACAAGGTGAGAAAGAAAATACTAATACACACTCACTGGCCACTTTATTAGGTACACCTTGCTAGTACAGGGTTGGACCCCCTTTTTTTCCTTCAGAACTGCCTTAATTCTTCGTGGCACAGATTCAACAAGGTGTTGGAAACATTCCTCAGAGATTTTGGTCCATATTGACATGATAGCATCACGCAGTTGCTGCAGATTTGTCGGCTGCACATCCATGATGCGAATCTCCTGTTCCGTTAATATACTGTACCAACCTATTAAAGTACTGAAATCTGTTTAGTACGTTTGTAGTACACTGATAACCACTAAAAGCAGGTGGTGGTGAGAAAGTCACATGATGAACCAAAGCTCATCACAAATAGTTTTTCCACAAGGTGAGAAAGAAAATACTAATACACACTCACTGGCCACTTTATTAGGTACACCTTGCTAGTACATAAAGTAGGACCGAAAAAACTAAGAAGAAACAGTTATTTCAACAACAAAAAATATATAATATGTATATAGTAAGGGAACTTACCGTTAACCAATTAATAGGTTTTTACTGTAGCATTTTTAGTCTTTTACCGTTAAAATCACAATCATTTTTTACAGTGTAGGTCACATGGACTGGACTGGAATATTGTCATCCTTTTTATGTCCTTTGATGTCTATGTAAATCACATCAGCTTGAGCAGCTGGATGAGACGATCATGTACCAAAAATACTGCAGCTTGTGCCTTTTTCTCATTTTCTCAGTAATTCAGCAATTATTCCTTGCTTATGTTTGACAGGTGTGATTGTCCAGTTTTCCATAAACAATGGTGTTCAGTGGCAGCCCCTACGAGAGCTGGACTTTGGCTCGTTCCTGGAGCCTCAGGTGGTGACGATCGAGCTCCCGCCCGCGGCTAAGACGCCTCACACTGTGTTCCGCTGGTGGCAGCCGCAGCAGGGTGAGAACAGACCAGCGTCATGTGATGAACTTACTGAAGGTGTTGTGATGCAGTGCCTGACAGGAGACATGTGTTCCTCTTTCTCAGGTAAACACTCGGCCCAGTGGGGTCTGGATAACGTTCTGATCGGAATGAATGACAGCGCTAGGAGTGGGTTCTTCGACACGTTTGATGGCACGTCTCCATTGAGACACAACTGGTATCGAGTCGTAGGTGGAGAGGTGACAGCAGACTGTCTGAGCCCAGACTCAGTGCTGAACTTCAACTCTGAGGTCATGGACAGTGAGTTAATCGCCAACACACCCATAACCTCATGTTCATCACAAACATTTATATGTGCATTTTCATCTGGAAAATGAGCTGTTTGCTCATCTGCAATATGTTGCTACAACATTTTATGATGTGTGTGATGTCGAAGGAGTCTGAATTGGCTCCTTTGAACATGTTTATCAGATGCGTGTACACAATAATGTATTTAAATTCAGAATTTAGATAACGTAAATTGACTGTGTACAAAGGGTGGCACAATACTAAGTTGCTCAGGCTTCATTAAGGGGCAGTTTGTATTTGTATTTACAGCGGTGGCCAAAATGATTAGAACACTAGAATTTTCACCAGCTAAGTCAGTTACTCATTTCTATCTTTTGCTGTAGTGTATCAGCAGGAAATATCAGTTTACATTTCCAAACATTCATTTGGCCATTAACTGTAATAATGCAGTGAGATATATGTTAGTGCTGCACACAGAGATGTGATTTGATCATCATCAGTCTGTCTGGAGTCACATGAAGAAACAGAACAAACTGAGACAGACTCAATCCAGAAGAACTGTGTCTCCGAGACGCTTCAAGAAACCTCCTGCAAAGCTACAGTGCTGTTAAAAGTTGTAGGCACTTGTGTAAACTGGAGTTCTCCACAGACTGCGGGAGACACTGGACGCTCATCACGCCCGAGTGTGTGCCTCCGGCCATCGGCTGCTCCGGATACATGCAGCGGTCCGTGTTCAGCGCTCCACAGTTCCTGCAGTGGAGGAGAGTCACCGTCTACCTGCCCAGCGCTGCCATGTAGGACCCGCTCCGACTCTTCACACAGAGGATCCTGTGACTGTGTCTCAGATGATTTATACATGCATAGTCTCACACTAAGGGCCAGATTTACTAAACGGCAAATTAGCGTTAGAGCGCAGTTCCATAAAAGCGCAGATGGGAGGGAAATTCTGTGGGTGATTTACTAACAATGTGCACATTATAGAACACAGATGCAGCAGATAATTTCCATAATAACCAGCTCGATCTACCAAGAGCAGCACAAATTACCGCCTGCTTTAAGACATGCTTTTTTTGGGTGTTAAATAAAGGCACAAATACCAGGAATTTGACGAGTGCAAATGTCAGTAAATCACGTTGCATGATTAATTTTAATACTCTCCTCCCTAAAGGGAAACTCATACAAATGCATATTCAATAAGGCCAGGCGCAAAAATAACTGCGTCCACACCTTTTCATCGCTAATGTTTCACTGCGTGTCTTTATTAAATCCTGACAATAATTCAGCATGGGTTTCATCAAGAATGTTCTATGGTTTTAATGGCATTTTTCAGTTCAAGTGTGAAATAAGGTGTGTAGTAAACATAACTTGATGAGACTTTGTTGTAAACATAAATTGCACACACACTCCAAACTTATTGAAAAAACGGACATAACTGCTTCCAAATTTCTGTTTTTAGTATAGGTGTGTGTAGTTTACGTTGTAGAGTAAAGCATCTAAGTATCATGAACTTATGTTTACCACAGACCTTGTTTTACTCATAAACAAAAAAAAACATTATACAACTTCATAGGAAAATCTCGAAGGAATCTTCTGAGTTTTGGCATCACAGCTGTGTAAGTTTGTATGTTTGAATGTTGTTCCCGATCCTGTAGTTCACCCAGAACACGGTTCCGCTGGATCCAGCCTCTCTTGGCTCCTGGAGCTGATGGCTGGGCGCTGGATAATGTGCTGCTGACGCCCGGCTGCCCGTGGATGTGCTCGGGTCATGGACTGTGTGACAACGGACACTGTGTGTGAGTGTGGACTCCAGCTGCTTTAGCTCCTGATAGCTTCATATTCCTCACATGCTCCTCAGCGATCCTGCAGGCAATTTACGTTGTAGAGTAAAGCATCTAAGTATCATGAACTTATGTTTACCACAGACCTTGTTTTACTCATAAACAAAACAAAACATTATACAACTTCATAGGAAAATCTCGAAGGAATCTTCTGAGTTTTGGCATCACAGCTGTGTGAGTTTGTTGCTTTGCCGTCCGTTCTGAAGGAAGATTTCAATGAGAACCTGAGGGCTGATGTCTGGCCGGAGGTGTACGGCGCAGAGAGAGGCACGCTGAGCGGAGAGCCTCTGAAATCAGGAACGGCCCTCATCTTTAAAGGAGTGAGTATTGCAGTCAAACAGCTGGGATCTTCCAGTGGAGAATTTCTGCACTGCATTATGCATTGAATCCTCCATCGTCACAGCAGTTAAGGACCACTAGTTTCCAGCATTTCACGAACAGAGTAAAGGTTATGTGTATTTGGCTCCGAGCCCAGAGTACCCCCCCCACAGGTTAGGATAGGGTTAGTTGTAAGGGTGGAGATGGGGAGGTGGAGGGATGCTGGAAAACTGTCAAGGAACAGACGTAGATCTGCTGTGTATACACACCTCTTATCTTGTTAATTATGTTGATTACTGATTGTGCTCCTTTTGTGTTAATTAGGTTAATTATCTGAACGTGCTCCTCCTGAACTTTGTTAATAAAACATCATTTATTTAATGAGTAACACATTATTTAAACAGTCCGCTTTAGACATTCTACTAACTATAAGTATCTTTGCAACTCTGTCAACTAGCAGTCATTAGTAGACTGTCTGCCTCATATCTGCTCACACTTTATTTTGAGGGACATTCTACTGACTATTAAAGTCACTTTGCAAGCATATTACAACTTATTCTACTAAACCTAACAGTCTGATAATGCTCTAAAGAGAGCTAGTTGACAGAGTTGCAAAGTTATAGTTAGTAGAATGTCTAAAGTGGGCTATCGAAATAAAGTGTTAACATTTCATGTAATTACATGTTGGTTTTGCAAGTATGACTGCATAATAAACTTTCATAGAACTTTTCTGTAATGGAGTTTTATGAGTAAATGAAAAGAGATCAGTTTTCTCTCTTTTGTGTGTTCCTGCAGGAGGGACTGCGCATGCTGGTCTCAGCAGATCTAGACTGCACAAACACCATGTACATCCAGTTCTCATTCAAGTTCATAACGAAGGGTGAGTCTGGCGTGAAGCGTGCTTTATCTCCAGCTTTCCTGCTTGTCTTCTGTGGGCTGATGGGAATGAACGCACTGGTTGTAAACACAGTATTTCTGTGTGTTTTACTCGCAGGTGTACCTGAGCGCTCTCACTCCGTGCTGCTGCAGTATTCAGTGAATGGAGGGATCAGCTGGCTGCTTATAGATGAGTTTTATTTCCCCACTTCCACAGACACACTGTTTGTTCACATGTCTTTGCCTCCCAGCGCACAGACCAACTCTACACGCTTCAGACTGTGGCAGCCGTACAACAGTGGTAAGAAAACACAGTCATTCAAACTTACCTCACTCAACCACAAATACATCACCAGTATAACGAGACGAGTTTGTGTTGTTCCATTATTGGAAAGTGAGAACCATGACAGGATAATTGGCTCTGTGAGAAGAATTGTAATGCATAAAGGCTGGCATACACTACACAACATTTGCCCAGATTTTTGCACCGATTTACAGACTGGATACATAGTCAATGCTAGTAGTTGAAAGTCAAACCCAGTCTGCAGATTTGAGTTGACAGATTTCATAGAAAATTGCATAGTGTATGATGGTCACAGACACCGATTCTCTGATTCCATCCAGTTGGAAATCAAACATGTTTTATATTTTGAGCTGATTTTGGAAGACATATTGTTTTAATGTGTTGCACGTATCCTTGCAATAAGGCACGTTGAGTCTGGTATTTTATGATGCTCAGTTTCCTCTGTAACTGTTTACAAAGTCGTCATTGTTATAATTGTTACACTTGTCATTCTTCAAACCCTCAGGGAAGAAGGAAGAGGTGTGGGTGATTGATGACCTGATCATAGACGGCAACACCATCAATAGCTTGCCGGTTATATTAGACAGCTTTGAGGGAGGACCTCAGGAGGGGAGCTGGCTGTTTTATCCTGGAGGAAACACTGGATTCTACTGCCCCTATCAGAGGGCAGGACTGTGAGTATCTGCATAGTGTTCACCTCACATCAGCACGCCATGTTCAAGCATATAAACCATAGTCAGCTCGTGCCTCTGGATTTAAGCAGAATCAGCCGAGCTTCTGTCATCCAAACTCAACAGGATTCTGCATGTTCAGCCGCTGAGCCTCCAGCTCTTGATGTTGATGTTTAAAAATTTATTTTTTAATTTTTTTTAGTGCTGTCAAATGATTAATCGCGATTAATCACATCCAAAATAATAAATAATAAAAAAATATATATAAATTATATTAATATAAATATAGATGTGTAAATACATGTAAATATTTTCAAAATATATACATGCATGTGTGTGTATTTATATATACATAATAAATATACACAGAACACACACACATATATTATGCAAACAAAAACTTTTATTTTGTATGTGCGACAGCACTAATATATATACATATATATTAAAAAAAAAAAAATTTTCCCCAAGTAAGGGTCAGCGAGAGCCGCTTGTGTGTTTTTACGGTTCACTGCTGTGTGTTGGGTGTGTGACGGTGTTTCTGTGCTCTCAGCTCAGTGCGGTTCCGCTGGTATCAGGGGTTTTATTCAGGCGGCGCGGCTCCGCCCACATGGGCCCTGGACAGCGTGTACATCGGCCCTCAGTGCCAGAACATGTGTAACGGCCACGGCGTGTGTGTGCGCGGCACTCACTGCAGCTGCGATCCGGGTTACTCTGGTCCCGACTGCTCCGTTCCAGACGTGCCAAACCTGGATTTCCTGAAGGAGGATTTCGAAGGTACAGAAGCAAACAGATGTTTACAGTATGCTGTTATCTGACATGATATTTCATAGTCATCATATTTCAAACATTAAAGTGGCTGCAAAAAGTGTTTGGACACACTTAAGTCACACCGAAAATGTCTGTTCTAGTAAAAAAGTAATATATTTAAAATACATTTCATAGTAAGTATAGTTCAAATCTACTAATATATCTACTGACATATCGTTTGAGACTTACTGATATATAAATTATAATTAAACTTTATTTGGAGTTCTACTTGTGCATAATGCGCAAGCCTATAATGTGTTTGAATGTCACTATTGATGAGGATGAGGAAAATTATGTGAGTGGTGCTCAGTGGTTTTGAACCTTAGGATGCTCTTCAGCAGTCACCTGAACGTTGTGTCTTAAACAGAGAAAATTAATAACAACTGGCTCTTCCAAGATTTTTATCACAAGAAACTACTTTGACACAAGAAGCAACAAGACATTTAGTTGATGTTTTCTCTTTCTGCAGCGTTGGACTGCGTAGCCCTGCTCTCATGAAAGCTTGTTGGTGCAATACATATTACACACAGGATTGTGCAATATACTTTCTACTGCTTATTTATTTATCTGTTTTTGCCGCTATGTCGAGCTGATTGTTGTGTGTTACTCTTTATTCTGTGTTTTGCATTCTGCTTGTTGTGTGTTACTTTTACCATAAAGGAGTTGCACTGGCTTTCGTTGTACAGCTGTGCAGTGACATGAAAGGCATTCTGATTCTGCTCCTCATAACTGTACAGTAAACAGGAAGCATCTTCATGGTGATTGACTAGAGCAGATTCATTGGGATTTGTCTGTGTATAAAAATTGTCCATTTTATTGATTGTGTCACATAGGTGGGGTTTTGGAGTCTGAATACTTCAAGTTGATGAGTGGAGGAAAGCCTTCCAGAAAGTGTGGCATCACCACCAGCGGGAACCACCTGTTCTTCAGTGAGGACGGTTTGCGAATGCTGGAGACATTAGATCTGGATTTGTCTAACGCTAGGTATTCCACAAACACACCAGATGGTTCACTGTGAAAGATGCCTTTCACGTCATTAGTAATGTTGGAGATGTGTGTGTCCTGCTCAGGTTTATCCAGTTCTTCCTGAGGCTGGGCTGCGGTAAAGCGGCTCCTGACCCGCGCTCCCAGCCGGTGCTCCTGCAGTTCTCCGTGGATGGAGGTCTGAACTGGGCTCTCCTGCAGGAGTTCCTCTACAGCAACAGCAGTAACCAGGCTCACCTGGTGGCCCTGGAGATCCCTCTCCGAGCGCGAACCTCAGCCACACGCCTGCGCTGGTGGCAGCCGTCTGAGAACGGACACTTCCACAGCCCCTGGGTTATTGATAAAGTAAAGAGCTGCTTCACCAAGACACGCGTGACATTACTGCAATACACTCATTAACACTGTATTAAATATTCGGTCATAAACATTTTGAAAACAGTGCCTTGCAAAGGCAATTCAAAACCATTAAGCAATTTTCCCCTTTTTACTCCATTATTAAAGCTGTTATATACGCTGTATATATCTATATTTTAACTCTACTGAAACTCATTATTTGATTATACTTTATTTTGATAGTTTACTTTAGACATTCTACAAACTAGAAGTAACTTTGCAACTACGTCAACTAACTCTCATTAGAGTATTAGTAGACTGTTAGGTTAGGGTTAGTAGAATAAATTGACATGTTCTTACAAAGTTACTTATAGGTAGCAGAATGTCTAAAGTGGACCATCAAAATGAAGTGTTAACAGTTATTTTTATTGTGAAACTGTTTTATATCCCAAAATGATAATCTAGTAGTGATGACTGGGTACGGTAAGTACATACTAGCTTCATATATCATTCAGTTGCCATTTTGGTAGATTTCATCAGTAGATTTGATCCATGTTGTTCAGGTTAGCTGCATGAATGCCACAGGCTTTGGACTGGGCCACACTGGGACATGTTTGAGTCCAGTCTTCATTTGTCCATTCATGTTTAGGATCAATGTCCCACTGAAAGTTTTAGTACTGTTTCTGCTGGAACAGATTATCTTGCAGTATCTTTTGCACGTCTCACTAACCCTATTTACGTCTGGCACTAAGATGAGTTCTTAGAGGTCCAATCATAAGTTGTCAGCCAAGATGCTTTACATTTCGACTTGGTTTTAACATTTTACCCGGTCGGTTACAGTTAAATCCAGTGAAATTCAGGCTGCATTCCTCAAAAGCATCATGAGCTAAGTTGATTGTAGAGACCACTGGTGTCAACAGTTCTACGACCTATTTTTGCAAGGCACTGTTTATACAGCCAGTGAACATGTACATTTTGGCTGTTGTGCTGGTTTTGGATCTGTATGTAGAGTGGATATGTGAACTCTGTTGCTCTGCTGTGATCGGTGTGTGTGTGTGCAGTTGGTTGTGGGCGGCAGTGCCAGCGGTTGGGGGCCGCTGGAGGACGACTTTTCCTCCACAAATGGACGATCTTGGCTGCTGCACCCCGGCGGCACGCGGATGCCAGTGTGCGGCTCTGATGGTGAAGCTTTCGCCTTCATCGAGAAGTCAAACACGCGTTACGGCATCACCACCGACATCAGTCTGGGCCCAGATGCCTTCATCCAGTTTGATTTCTCTGCCTCCTGCTCCGTCACCTCCTCCTGCTACAGTACGTCTCCTGACATGAGCGTGCGCTTCTGTCTGTGTCATGAATAGAAGGGCTTTCCTCTGACGGCTGTTCATGTGTCCGCAGTGGTGGAGCTGGAGTACTCTTTGGATCTAGGTCTCACGTGGCTGCCGCTGGTCAAGGATTGTTTACCCACAAATCCAGATTGTTCTTCATACACACTGCAGAGATTACTGGTGTCAGATACTTACAACAAGTGGGGCAGAGTTACATTACCCATACCACACTATGCCAGGTAAGCACCCACCCACACTATTTTCCCGTTTATCACTGTAAAGCTGCTTTAACAAAATCTGTATGACATGAGACTTGACTTGACACCAGCATGTAAATCAAGTAAGGAATAATTGACGACAAGGCATTAAATTATTGAAAAATAATGCAGAGGAGGTAATGCTGTTACACCTCAGGTGTGCATTATTTTTCAATAATTCAAAGGACTGGAGTCAATTATTCCACTTATACCACTGTTACAACTCCTCAAGTCATTGTTCAGATAGTACTCATTTCTTACGCTTTTGGTCCCAAGCCTCGTCCCTTCTAAATTCAATGCATCATTTTAGAGTTAATATCATCTCTCTATGGTGTTTGACAGCAGCGTCACTACTAATAGCGAAACTGTAAGTTTATCTGCTTCAAGAACAGCAACGTTACCACCTCCATACTGTGCAATGTCATTTATCTTTTCAGTTGCAAACAATACTACTGAAAAATTCATTTGCAGGGTAGGGCTGACAACAAGGTGCATGTGCTTGCAGAGAGCGAGAGCAGGATAAAGAAAGTGTGCTTTGCATGGATAATAAAAGGTCATTTACTTGGGAAAACATGGAAATTGTAATTTTTAACCCTTTTTGGTCATATTTGTTTGCTGTGTTCAGTGTCTTTGGTTCTTTTTGGTTGTTTTGCTATTGTAGGCTGTGAATAACCTTTGAAATAACTGAAATTATATGGCGAAGTGATTTGGAAGTGCAATGCGGTCAACAGACCGGGAACTACTTCATAGCTGCTCGTTTCCTGGAAAATAATTGCACACATTAGAATATCCATCAACCAATCAGAATCAATCATTCAACAGCCCATGGTATAATGACTTCTAAGAATTGAAAGGTTTTTCGTTGTCTTTTGTGGCAAATGCACAGGTCCACAGCCACGCGCTTCCGCTGGTTCCAGCCGGCGCCATTTGATAAGCAGCAGACGTGGGCTCTGGATAACCTGTACATCGGTGACGGCTGTCCCGAGATGTGCTCCGGCCGCGGCCACTGCAGACAGAGCTCTTGTGTGTAAGTCACTCTCACCTTCACCAGGTAATACCTGCTGTAAATATTTCCTGCTCCTCACGGCTCTTGTCTTTCAGATGTGACCCTGAGTGGGGCGGTGAGTTCTGCAATGAGCCGTTGGTCTCTCTGCCCGCTCAGCTGAAGGACAGTTTCAGTCGAGCTCCGGCGCTCAATCACTGGCACCTGCTGACCGGCAGCAAGATCAGCAGCGTCTGTGGAGCCGTGGCCTCAGGATCAGCACTGCACTTCAGCGGGGTAAAACCGTCAGTCCTTCAGTCTCTGTTTCAGTCTGAGGAGTTCTTGAGATGCTCACATTCACAGTGATTCACAGTCTTTAAATTACACTACTGCAGCATGAAATCACAATATCATGAAGTCAAAATAAACCAAATTCATAAGTATTCCAGCTCCCAGAGTTAATACTGAGGATGACCTTTGGCAAAGAGCTTATTTTCCTGAAGATTGTGTCCCAGGAGTCTTAGGATTGCAGCTTGTTTTCCTCTAAGGCTTTTTTTATAGTTGGCCCATCTATTTTTCATTCTCTCTTTATGAGTTTCCCATCCCTGCTGTCTTTCACCGTAGGGATGCTGTTCTCACTGCGATGTGAGCTTAAGAATGAGGCACAAAAGCTCAATTTTAATTTCATCAGACCGTGAAATCTTCCTGCAGTTAGCTGTCTCTCAACTGCCTCTAAGCAAACTCCATCTCAAATATCATGAGTTTATTCAGCAAAACCTTTCCATGAAAATCATTTGTTGAAGCAAAATCTGTCTCTGTCTAGCTTTCTGTCCACCTACCTGTCTGTTGTAGTAATGTTTCAGGATAATGACAGTATTGCTACAGTGCTGTTTGTGTAAATGAGGGTAGTTTTGAATGAATCAGAGTATCACGTGTCATTGCTGTTGTTTGTCTAATGGCCAGAGCTGCTCTCGTCAGCTGGTGACGGTGGATTTGAATCTGACCAGTGCTGAATTCATCCAGTTCTACTTCATGTACGGCTGTATGATCGCACCCAGCAACCGTAATCAGGGCGTTCTGCTGGAGTTCAGTGTGAACGCGGGGATCAGCTGGAATCTGCTGACCGAGATCTTCTACGACCAGTACAGCAAGCCTGAGTGAGTCTCTCTGCTAGCACTGTGATCTTCTTGATTTGAACCACTCCAATAACCATTCTTACAATTCCCAGATCGACCTTGTGCTCCATGCACTTTATCCAGCTCTGCATGCGTACAGCGCATCTCTCTGCAGATGCCGAGTAACTGGACCCTGTTGAAAAAAACAGCATATGCTGGTTAGGTATGTTTTGAGCAGGAGCAAGTTGCTTAGGACCAGCACATGACCAGCTTAAACCATCTCAAACAAGCTGCCATGCTTCAAAACATACCTAACCAGCATATGCTGGGGAATCCTCTCACTCAATTAAACATGCAACATAATAATGTCATGAGACAACAGTGCAGCGTAGGACTGCTTGAAATATTTATCCTTACATGCACTGTTCCTTACACTGTTTCTCACACTGTGTTTCAAAATAGTGTATAATGCACAGTAATCAGCATGCTGCTGTTTTATTCTGAGCACAGAGTAGCAGGAGGGAAGGGCAGAACTGTTCTAGTGTTTTCCGTGTTAGAACAGTCAAGTTGGAAACTTTTTTAATGTAATGAATTAAAGGTCCTCTGGTTGAAGTGTTCAGTGCATTCACACTATAACTATGAACGTTTTCTCCTGTAGGTTTGTGAATGTTCTGCTGCCCGCTGCTGCGCGAGCCGTGGGTGTCCGGATCCGCTGGTGGCAGCCGCAGCATGACGGGGCCGATCGGAGCGACTGGGCTCTGGATAATGTGCTGATCTCCGGCTCAGATGCTCACGCTCAGATCTCAGACACGTTTGGAGGAGCGGCGCTGCCCAGCCATGAGAGAGCGCCGGCTGACAGCACACACACACGACACAGCGGCTCATCCGTCATCCATGAGGAGACCATCGGTACGAGATCACGTCTACAGATACACACACACACTACAGCAGCTCAGTCTCCTTCCACGCGGAGACCATCAGTACGAGAGATTTATAAACACACACCTTATGAGGGATCATTAAAAGTTTCCCTTTTTACAGTTCCCTCCACTAATATTGGCACCCTTAGTAAATATGAGCGAAGGCGAAGGAAATATCCTTTTGATCTTTCATTCAAAAAATTCACAAAATTCTAACCTATCATTGAAGTAAAACAATTGAAAGTGGGGGGAAAATCTCGTGATGAAATAAACGTTTTTCTCCAGTGCATGTTATCCACAATTGTTGACACCCCTAGAAATTCCAATGAGTAAAATATCTCTGAAGTATATTCCCATTCATATTTACATTCTTGAGCACACCAGGGTGACTAGGAGCATGAAATTGTCCAGCCATAACGTCCTGTTCCACAGGATTATAATAATGAGGAACACAAAGAAGTTTTATGAGTAAAACCAAAGAATATAGTTCTGATGTGCAGAACAAGATTGTTGAGCTTCACAAAATAGAAAGTGGCTGTAAGAAAAGAGCTAAAGCATTGAAAATCATTTCCACCATCAGGGCAATAATTAAGAGGTTCCAATCAACTAAAGATGTTACGAATCTGACTGGAAGAGGACGTGTGTCTATATTCAGTTGTCAGACACGACTGGAACTCCAAACGGGATGGGCTTCTCTGGTCAGATGAAACTAAAAAAGAGCTTTTTGGCAGCAAACCCACCAGATGTGTTTCGTACAAACAGGGATAAAAAGTAGCCCATGCCCACGGTTAAATACACTGCTGGATCTTTAATGTTGTGGGCCTGTTTTTCTGCCGGAGGTCCTGGACGTCTTGTTCAGATGCATGGCATCATGGATTCTACCAAATACCAACAGATAAAAAATCAAAAACTGGCTGTCCATGCTAGAAGCTGAGGTTGGATCTTCCAACAGGACAATGATCCAAAACAAACATCAAAATCAAAACAAAAAATGTGTCATTGAGAACAAAACCAAGCTTTGGCCGTCCAGTTCCCTGGCCTGAACCCTGTAGAAAATTAGTGGTGTGAACAGAAGAGGAGAAGCACCAACATGGAGCTGTGAATCTGAAGGATCTGGAGAGATTCTGGATGAAGGAATGGTCTGTTCTCCAAACTCCTCCGTCAGTATAGAAGAAAACTCTTGGGAAAAGGACATTGCAATAATTGAGTGCCAATAATTGTGGCCAACGTGAACTAGAGAATAACATTTATTTCACAATGAGATTTCCCCCCATGTTCCATTGTTTTACTTTAATAACATCAAAATCAACACAAAAATGTGTCACTGAGCACAAAACGAAGCTTTGCCATGGCTGTCTCAGTTCCCTGACCTGAACCCTGTAGAGAATGAGTGGAGTGAACTGAAGAGAAGAAGCTGTGAATCTGGAGGATCTGGATGAAGGAATGCTCTCTGATCTCTTGTCAGGTGTTCTCCAAACTCTTCAGGCATTATAAGAGAAAACTCAGAGCTGTTACCTTGGGAAAAGGACGTTGCAATAATTGGGTGCCAATAATTGTGGCCAACATGAACTAGAGAAAGCATTTATTTCACAACGAGATTTTCCCCCCACTTTAAATTTTTTTACTTCAATGATAGGCCAGATTTATTTTCACAGCCACCTTTGCTCATATTTACCAAGCGTGCCAATATTAGTGGAGGGCACTGTATACAGATGGCAATGAAACTGAAATACTAACACTGTTGGTTTTCAGCTACATATAATGTTTTTGATACTATTTAATTTTTTTAATTTAGATTATATTTCAATGTAATTTGAGAGATTCATTCGCTGAATAAATTTAGTGCCAAAGCAATGGAAATAGTCACAGTTTAGCCACATACAGTCAAATTAAAATTTATTCAGATACCTTCAACATTTCTCATTTCATCTAATTTTACAGTGCATGTTTGATTTTTTTTTTTATTTTGATTTTTTGGATCAAGCCATCAAACTATTGCGTTGTATTAAATATCTATGTGGATGTTTGTCTTTCTGAATTAGTTTTACATGTGCAGTGCAAACCTCCGTCAGTCAAAGGCAGAGGATCACTGTAACCGTAACTCATCCTTACTCTCACTTCTTTTCTATATTCTTCTGAATTTCTTTCATTTCAGTGAGCGATCACTGGCTGTTTTCTGAAGATTGCTCCGTGAAGCGTTTCTGCAGCTCTCCAGACGGTGTCATGGTGTGTGGCAACACGGATGGACAGGAAGTTTATGCTGTTACACATGACATAATTCCTGCCAAAGGCTGGGTCATGCAGTTCAAGGTAAACTCTCACTGATGCATGCATGCTCTCCAGCCATCAGTCATTTGTTTAGGCATCGGTTTCTATGACGGGTTGTAGTCATAACTGTGATTATTTGTGCATGCAGATGGATAAGTATGTGTGTTGTTTGTCAGATTGCAGTTGGCTGCAGTGTGCCGGAGAAGCCTGCAGAGAGACAGATTCATGTTCAGTACTCCGTGAACTTCGGTGTGACCTGGAAGTACCTGGTTCCTCAGTGTTTACCTGCAGATCCTCGCTGTGCCGGACTGGTGTCGCAGCCGTCTGTGTTCTTCCCGGCCGACGGCTGGAAGCGAGCGGTTTATCCTCTACCAGACGGTCTCGCAGACACGTGAGAGTTCGCAGACACTGCTTTGTACATGTAGAATAAACCAGTTTTATCTCATATTCATCATGTCAGCATAGGTTCGCAAACAGCAAAAACACACCATGATTCGGTTTACCATCGACAGTTTCATGCAGTAGAAGTCAAGTCATCAGTTGTCCTTGTACTAGTTAAATCAACAAACTCAACCACATTTGTGACCCTGGAGCACAAAAGCAGTCATAATCAGTGTTGGGGGTAACGCATTACAAGTAACGCGAGTTACGTAATCAGATTACGTTTTTCAAGTAACTAGTAAAGTAACGCATTACTTTTTAATTTACAAGAGAATATCTAGATTTTGAAATAGTTGTATCTCTTAGCTTTGATGATGCATACATCTAAATTTCCAAAACTTGACCCTTATGACTGGTTTTGTGCTCCAGGGTCACATTTCAGACACAAAGTAAAGTGCATTTACTCTCCATTTTATTTACTTTGAAAAGTGATTTTTGCAGGCACACATGTAGGGAAGAGAGTTCTCTATAATCTTCAGGTGAGTGATGGATGTTCTGGTGTCCTCCACAGAGCGGTGCGCTTCCGCTTCTATCAGAGGCATTCAGATACGCAGTGGGCGGTGGAGAACTTCTACATCGGACCTGCTTGTGAAAACCACTGCGGAGGTCACGGAGACTGTCTGGACCAGCACTGTCGCTGTGACCCGACAGGCTTTCACTGAGGCTCAGGGTTGCCCGACTAAGTATTGATGGTTGGGTAAATACTGTCATACTAACAGCTGTCTAATTTTTTGGTTGATTGTAATCTATTACATACCTTTCTATCAAAGTTATCTAACATTATCAAGCTGAATTTGTTCAGAATAAAAGTATCGGTATCGGGCGAGTACTGGAAAAAGTGGTATCGGTGCATCCCTATTAGGATTACATTATGTAATTATTTGTCCCATTTTTATGTAAATAATTTTGAATTTTTTTATCTTTTTAAAATGCCAAATTGTATATGACATATATGAATATTTATTATGTATATATTTATGACTAATATCAGTGATAAATGAATAAATATGGTCTAACATTAATTATAATCTATTGATTCATCTGTCTAATAATGTCTAAAAATATAATAATTATGTCTACCAAGCTCTGATAATGTATGGAATATTATATTAACAGACTATCCAAATTTGAATAAAACAATAGGCCTATACCTTTAGAAGCAACAATGTGTCTGTCACTTTAAAGGTATGGTTCATCCAAAAATGAAAATTCTGTCATAATTTACCCAGGTTGTTCTAAACCTGCATAAAGTTCTTTCTTCTGTTGAACACAAAAGAAAATACTTTGAAGAATGCGTCTCAACTAAACAGCTGCAGGTCCGTAACTTCCATAGTAGAGAAAAATACTATCAGAATCATTGGGGACCAGAAACTGTTTGGTTACCCACGTTCTTCAAAGTATCTTCTTTTAATGTTCAACAGAAGAAAGAAATTATTACAGGTTGGAACAACTTGTGGGTGTGTAAACGATGACAGAGTTTCATTCTATCCCTAAGTCAGACAGTCCACCGTGAGCAACTGAAATGCTTCTCTGCAAACTGCGCGTTCATCATTAGTTAAAGGACAGACCCATTGATAACTTTCCCGTTCAGCTCTACATCTGGAGAGTCTTGTGTTCAAAGGGCAGATGTGAGCTCTAGATCTTTTAAACCGCGCAGGTTTAGCGCATGCTGCGTTCTGGAGACTTCATCGCTGTGGAAAAAAAGACGCCAAAATCACACGCAAGTGAGGTTCTCTAATACTTCTTATGAAACTGATTTAATTATAATTGTTATTAGTATTATAAACAGTGCAAAATACTTATTTGTTTATTCAAATATGTGTTGGCCTTTGTAAAATATGAGACAAATCGTGGCCCGTATAGATTTGATACGGGACGCACCATTTTACCTCTAAATATGGGATGATTCTGTATTTTAAGGGACGGGTGGCAACCCTTTTTCAAACACTCCTGTGTGTTTCTGTGTGAGCGCTCCGCTCAGTGAAGAGCGTGAAGCGATGGTCATTGACTATGTTTACATGGACATCAGTAATCTAATCATTTACCATATTCTAAATAAGACAATATTATGATTAATGTATTTACATGAGTTGCTTTTAGAATATTCCTTTCATCTTCCTGTTTTACATGTTATAGTACATCGATTAATGGCACTCGTCGTTACATCCCCATGCAACCCCATCTGACGCCCCCTCCAGAATTTCACGTATAAACATATAGTTTGTCTTCGTTATGATGCCATATGCAGTTTTGGGTTTTGCACTTTTAATTTTAGGGTTAGGGTTAGGTGCAATAAGTAAATAAGTGCAAATAAATGCAACAAATAAATAAGTGCAGTTAATTATTTGTCATGCTATACGTTCAAACAGACGACAGCATTGTTAATGCCATGCTCTTTTGTTTGCCGTCAAACATTTTACCACAGCAGTGAAAAGTCCTACACGACGGTAATAGTGTGATTTAAGGTGTGTACATGTCTTTACCAAGCGACAGCCTCCTGGTCTCTCTCGTGAAACCAACACGGAAGTGACTAAAACTGTAATTCATCAACTGGCCGCTAGAGGCTGGCTTCAAAAGGGAGTCAGTCCCATAGACTCCCCATGTTAAAATGCCCAACTTTACAGCAGAAAAAAATATATTTACAGCCTGGTACAAAAAGTGGTTTTGGTCTATATAGCTAATTTTGCCCTTCATGACAACTGTGAGGGGGGTGAATTTTTTTATAACTCATCCGTTTAAATTATATTAAGCCTTAAAGTTCTGCATAATTAAGGGCGTGGCCACTTGAGTGACAGGCGGATTGCCGCTGCTGTCACCACCGTCGAGCTAGGTGGGCGTGGTTTCAGCAACCTGCTCCCGCCTCTTTGCCCATTTTCGATTATCCGGGAGTGACGCCAAGATGGCGACAGCCGGCTCCGCCCACTTTGATCTTCAAAAACGCTCTTCAGAAAACTACGGGTGACGTCACGGACACTACGTCCATGTTTTTATACAGTCTATGGTCTATACTGCACTTCGATAATGTGACTAAAATAGGAATGATCCACGTTTTAATTCGATTTGTGTTTTCCTCGTGTATGATTTTAGCTGGATTAAGGTAATCAAAAATCTCTTGATTACATGATAGATTCTTAATCAGAGTATTGTCTTAATCGTGTTTAAATCGGATTATTGTTTTCCATGTAAACATACTCATTGTAGCCAATCACAGATGTATCTGTTGAGCGCGTGAACACAATGACCATTCAGCGCTGTTTAAGAATCGGCTCTCAAATCTTAGCGGGAAATGGACGTTTTTAAAACTTCAGTACCGAATGGTATCGCGGTCGGTACTTTCGACAACACTACAGACATGTGAACGCGAGCTCCGCAAACATCAGGCTTTCCTTGTGTCCCCAGCAGGCGTCGCTGAAGGAGCGCTTTGACTGGGACGGGGCCCGCGGGCCGCAGTGGCAGGTGCTGGAAGGCGGATACCCCTGTACTGACTGCAGGGTGCTGGTGGAGGGAACAGCACTGTACTTCAATGGTGCAGAGGCCAGACAGGCGGTCACTAGTGATCTGGACCTGCGTGGGGCGAAGTAACTGCACAGAGCATTTTCCTTTCTAAGTTCTGCAACACACATACCATATACTGTATGTCAAACCCTTCACGGTTTCACAGACATCAAAGGCCTTTAAGCCGTGGTCACGCTAGACTTTGAGCATGCTGCAACGGACATGATATGACGTCACGCTGTGCAGCGTCTTTTTAAAAACTTAAATTCAACATAAATTATAATACAACTAAAATGTAAAAATATACAATCTACTCCACTTTCCTACAGCACTGCAGTTTTAGATTTATGTTCTTTTAATTCAGTTACGAGGTCACGCTGTGACGCATTGATCTGCTGTTAGTCACATGGTATCACGTGATGCGAATTCGCAGGTCAGAGTTCACCAAGCTTTTGAACTTTGGAATGCAGCAAAATGCAAAACTTTTCGCACGAGTTTGTGTTTCCGGTCTGACGCATTCGTATGCGTATGAATGGAAGCCAATGGAACAAAAAGTGCAGTGTGACCATACCTTTATTCTGCAGGCCTCAGAGAGAACCCTAACCCTTAATGTAGCTGAGCACCTCAACTGTTTAATCCCAACTGCCGAGCTAACAATAAAATCAATGTTCCCAGAACACATTTCAAGGTTTGTTTTTGGTTAGGCAGGAACATGTTCTTTTGACACATTCTTTATTAAATGCTGTATTAGGTAATGATTTAAACAGAAGAAACAGGATATTGCATTGTTTTGCTTCTTCCTATGCATGAGGGTACATATTCTAAGCCTTTATCATTCTAATTTAGGGATGCTCGTTTTAACTGGTTAACCGTTAACTGACAGTAAGAATTTTGACCGATTAATACAATCAGATAAATGGTTTAAAAAGTCATTTATTTATTTATTTATTTTTTTCAGTAATTTATCAAAATATTTTCAAATGTTTGCTGCATGGTTAAAAAATACACTTACACGTATACAATAAAATTGCGTGTGAGAAAAAAAAACAGGCCTAAGTCTCATTTTATTTTTTCATTCAGAAATAGGCCTAATGCCGACACGAAATGTTTACAAACTCCACGACAAATCCTTTCAATTTAACAGTATTCGGAAAATAACAAGAATTAAAAACATAAGAAGGACCAGCCAAAACTAATTAATTTAGGCTAAAACAAAACGGAAACCAACGTTGGGTCTTTCATTCGACACAAATACAAATGTTTCTGTATTTGTGATGAATTTGAATGCCAAAATATTATTTAGGCTATTATGTAAACCTGGTTGTGTACTTCACTTGCGTTCCAATATCCACATAAAACAAAATGTGTTTGACACAACATCACGGCGGTATGGTGATAACGCTTAACGGCACAGATTTTACTACATATGTAAACAGAGCAGTGTGTTTTTTCCATATGTTTAATGGACTGTATTTTATTATAATAATGAAAAGGCTGCATTGTCAAGTTAGCGATGCTTAACTGTGTGCGCGAGTGCGTGCATTGTTTTCCTTCTAACAATGGAAACAACTAGGCCTACTCCTAGTCATACAGATAATCGAAACTGTAAAAGGTTTGCTTTTATTTGTGTACATTCACAATAAAAACAAATCTTTGTGCTTTTGTAAAATAAAGAAAAATTGGATGCTGCTTTCTGCCGTCTTTCGCGCACCACAAAAATAAACCGAAACACACTATTTTTCCATATGTTTGACTGACTGTATTTTATTATAATAATGAAAAGGCTGCATTGTCAAGTTAGCGATGCTTAACTGTGTGCGCGAGTGCGTGCATTGTTTTCCTTCTAACAATGGAAACAACTAGGCCTACTCCTAGTCATACAGATAATCGAAACTGTAAAAGGTTTGCTTTTATTTGTGTACATTCACAATAAAAACAAATCTTTGTGCTTTTGTAAAATAAAGAAAAATTGGATGCTGCTTTCTGCCGTCTTTCGCGCACCACAAAAATAAACCGAAACACACTAGACTACTTGTTGCACAGTTTTTGCTTTTGTTTTGTTAATTTATTATTTAAGTTAAAATATATTTCTCGTATAGGCCTATTTATTCGTTATATATATATAGCCTAGCTTATGTTTTTCTCTGCTGCCCAAATCTGTGTGTACCCTCATATTAATAACATTTGCCTGTGCTGCCCTTCAGGTTTGTGGAGTACTGGGCTAAAATCGGCAGCGAGGAGAACGTTACTCTGTGCCATCGTCCAACCTGTCGGAAAGAGGGTGTGTTATTGGATTATTCTATTGATGGAGGTATGCTTCTTTAATAATAACACAAATGCAAAATCATTCTCATCTTTCCTTTTATGAAGACACAAGTCATATACATTGATTGAGTTGTTCTCTCTGTAAGGTGTGTCTTGGACGCTGCTCCATGAGATGGACTATCTGAAGTACGTGTCTGTGAGGAGAGATTACATCGTGCTGCCGGAGACAGCGCTGACCAACGCCACTCGTCTGCGATGGTGGCAGCCGTTCTCGCTGCTGTCGGGCCTGGTCCGGTCGAGTGCGGAGCGCGCTCAGTGGGCTTTAGACAACATCCTCGTGGGAGGCTCTGACATCAACCCCAGCACCCTCCTGGACGCCTTTGATGACGGTGAGTCACGGGTTACTCACAGTGGCATTGAGATATCCTGAAGTCTGGAGCAGTGAAATATGATCCTGGAATCATGAAAAAAAATTCTTGAGCTAGTAGGGATGTAACTATATTATCAATATCACGATAGCAGAACTGTCTCAATATTATCATGGTCACATGACGATATGAAACGATAGGTCTTCCAGGCAAAATAAAAGTTTTTAAAATATATTTGTTTTGGGCCATTATGCTTTGGCACACTATCTGTCATAAGCACTAAAACCGAAAGCACAGTATGGCTTAATCGCTTCATCAAATCTGTTTTTGCTGCGTGTTTCAAAGCGAAGCGCACACTTCGTTCAGACTATCAGCTCGTGATCCGGTGTTTTCCACGTCTCAGAACGGCTCCGTTCACACTGAATGAATGCAGTCAACTCGTTTATTGCATGTGCTGTGAGTTTAGGAACACATAAGCCACCAGTTCTGCTTTATTTTCACGCCAGGTGATTACGCCATTTCACTAGATTTGTATTGAGACGCGTTTTTGTTTTTGTAAGCCTGTTTTGACTGAAGCTGGAGTTTTCCTTCAAAATAAAAGCTTAAAAGTGCAGCATTAATTGCTGACAGCTAGCGGTTTAAATGCAGTCCAAATTCAAAATATCTATTTCAAATGTCGCATAGCGTATGTGACGTTTCGAGCACGCAGGCTCTTCATCAGACAAATGAACAACACTGATATCCCAATCTTTATAGGCCTACCTCCAGGTGATCAAAGGTCACATGACCGTACAATATTATCGTGATAATAATAATACCAAAACAATAACATATCAACCAAGGAGAAAAACATAGAAACAAAAATAAGAAATAAAAATAAATCAAAACATATAAAGCTATGCAAAATACACGAATATAATTCTCAATATATTATTTAATAACATTAATTGATGCCTGCCTGGGTATATAAATACAAATCAACAACCACAAAGTGTTTATTATATGTAGATAGATATCTTGTGTTTAAAGAAATGGACGAATATCAAAGTCCTCATTTAATCCTCTAGGGGACAATGTGTCTAGTGTATAAATCCGGAAGGCTTCGCGCTGTAAAAGCAATTTGTTGATATCACCTCCGCGACGCGGACACTTCACTACCTCAATGCCTATGTACTGAAGAGTTATATTCGTGTATTTTGCATAGCTTTATATGTTTTGATTTATTTTTATTTCTTATTTTTGTTTCTATGTTTTTCTCCTTGGTTGATATGTTATTGTTTTGGTATTATTATTATCACGATAATATTGTACGGTCATGTGACCTTTGATCACCTGGAGGTAGGCCTATAAAGATTGGGATATCAGTGTTGTTCATTTGTCTGATGAAGAGCCTGCGTGCTCGAAACGTCACATACGCTATGCGACAGTTTTTTTTTTAAATAAATGTTTTGATAACTTAAAATAATTTTTTAATTTTAAACATTTTTCCACTTGTTTCTCAGTCGAGCACCCAGTTGAGATCGATGTGCGTGCTTTTGCCCGCTCTTCATTTATTTTACAGTGCAATTGTTTTATGGCTTCTGCTGTCATTGTTGTTGTTATTATTATAATATGTTCTAATTTGTTTGGCTTCCTAAAACACCAGTGTGAATGTAATTTAGACTGAGACAATAGATCACAAATAAATAGAGGGTTGAGTCCTCTTTAAAGTTCAGCTACAAGTCAATTCACTGACTTTTTTCTGACTTAAGTTTTAAGAACATGGGTTGGAGCTTTTAATTTTGAATTCTCAAAGTGCATTAGGCAGAATAATTTAATTTTAAAATGTACAAAATTTTCATTTTTTCCCAATTCTTCATTTGTCTTTTTTTTTCTTTTTTAAATATCGCAAAAAATATCGTATCGTGGACTTCATATCACAATAATGTTGTATCGTGAGATTTTGATATCGTTACATCCCTATGAGCTACTGTCCATATTATAGAGCTGCACTAATGTTCTCCTTCCTCCAGAGGGCGTCTCTCATGAAGAGAGTTGGAGCTTCTATCCCAATGCTGTCCGTACGGCCGGCTTCTGTGGAAACCCGTCGTTCCACTTATATTGGCCCAACAAGAACCAAGACGGGTCGCACAATATCCTGGCGACCCGAGAACTCATTGTTCAGCCTGGATACATCTTACAGTTCAAGGTTTGAGCACAAGATGTTTGAGATCAGGGGCAGCGCTAAGGGGGCTGAAGCCCCGAATGTTTTATTACCAAGCACTATACGCATCATCACTAAATTTTCATGCGCATTAAAATCATTTCTATTAGAACCGCAGATGTTCTCTACATTCCATTCTCTCGTTCACTCCCGTCAAGAAGTGCTTGAGGCTCGAACTTCTGACCAACTGGCCAACCATTGATAAAAGGTTACAGCAGCTGCTTCAGGTATCTGTAACTGAGTGTAGGCTATAACTTATCGCTATAATACCGATCTCGCCATTTGTCAAATTAGGTTATTTGTTACTGAACACTGTCACTGTGAAGCAACAAATATAGATATTTAATCATAGAATTATATGCAGTCTTCCGTGGACACACACGGGTTTAGAGCGATTATATGAACGGTTTGTTCGGCATGCATGGTTAGTGGCAGACTTTTCTTCGTGTCAAGGCAACAAATATTAAGTGGCTTAAATTGTAGAGACAATATTGCCTTTTTTGCTCTATTTCGGTAACGAAAATGGTTGCAAACAAAGCCATGTTGTGCGTCTCTGCAGCAACACACACTCTGCAGCGGTGTTTCCTTACTGAATGAATTTTGCGTTTTTGAACAAATCGGTTGATTCAATGATTCACTGATTCATTCATAAAAACGGTTTCTTGCCCTGCGTCCCAATGTTCATACTATCCA